GGTCAGTTTAGCATAGGAATCAGGCTAGAAAGTTGGCAATTTAGGAACTAAGTTCTACTCTGTCCTCTTAGAAGTGAAAAAAATCCAAGGGAGAATTAAAAGTAATTAGGCAGAAAACAGCAATTAAGCTCAGAATGAATTTCATTTTTAAACCATTAAAATCCTTGCTGCTTCCAAAGAACTGGGAATCATGGTGGACATCTACACAGAAACCAAAAAAGATAATGTGACTGCAGCAGTGCTCTCTGACCCACAGATGCGGCACTTCCCCCTAAAACAGAGAAGCACCTTAGGAGAAACCTGGAGACACAGCGAAGGTCTCTGGCACTGCCTGGGTGTGTGTGAGCTGGCCTTCGCCCCATCAATCCCACAAGCGATTTAACTTGTACTCTTCTCCTAAAGCACCTTAATGTCTGGGTCAAAGTTGTAGGAAGGATCACGAAATGGCCTTGTTAAGATGCACCAAATTATTACATTACTTAAACTGGAGGAGAGTACAATTTAAAAACGAATACTTCTGGATTGCAAATCCCGGAAGGGATTTAGGGGTTTAAAGAAAAAGACAGTAACTAGAAGATTCATTCTCTCCACATACCTAAAAGAATAAAATACAATACAAAGACATGAAACTTGTACTCCAAATGAAATAAAGGAACATCTGTGCATATTTAATGACTCTCCTAGCAAATGTCTTCCTTACTTCTTCCCCAGCCCTACTTTTCCACAACCAAAAATCCACTTAATTTCAATAAATCAATCTTTGCCTTGTTTTTTACTGCTCCTTTCCAGATTTCCACCATACCTATTTCCCTCAACAGGTTCAACAGAATGTAAGAATACCTTTATTTTATAAAATTACACCCAAGGTAGCATCTATCACAAGACTCATGACCATTTTTAGTAGTGAAATTATTAAGGACATTGCAGATCCATTCATCATATTGGGTCTGCCCCTATTAACAAAACACAGCAATGGAAGAGGAAACATCTTTTTCCTGATCTCAGGACAAGAATGGAGACAAAATTACCATCACCTGCACTAGTTCCTGAAAACTTCAGTCTTTCTTGGTAAAGATTACAGAAAAAGCATGCAATAAATTTCATTACCAGATCATAGTTTGCAAATTGGCTGTGCTGCCAAGTCTTTGTTTTGCAAAGGGGAATACAGGATTCCCTAAACATTTGTTTGAAGAGAGTTTTTGGCAAGTCAAAGACAGAGTGGAATGCCATACAGAACCCACTTCTCATGTTCCAGATGATATCAGGATTCAAAAAATCCCCTACAATGGCCATAGTCATGGGAGAAGGCTTTACTTTAGAAGGACCCCTTAAAATAAACACTGGTCTCCAAAGTCAATATTAACCTTAAACCATTTGCTTTTTCTTCCCTTGATTCTTACTGGCTATGTATACATTGTCAGTTAGCTATGGTAGTTTGGTATGGACATCACTAAGTATCACAGTTAATCCCAGAGTTATTTAACTTATGGCAAAACAGATAATACTTGAATGGCATTCTTAATGATAACAAACTTTGCACAGTTCCTCTGATTTCCAGCTTGTAAATGACCAGGTCCAACGTTACTCAGTACCATGCACAAGACTTTCTCAAATAGCAGCTCAGACAGATCCATTCCTCAGCCCAAGTCCCTTGGCCATACAGACTAAAATCAACATCAAGCAACACATACGGATTTTCGTTACTTTAGAAAGTGGGCAGAAATCAGGGCTATACAAAGCCAATAAGCTACCTTAGTTTTGGGTAAGAGGCAAAAGAGCGCATGGATCATGGCTCTTATCCTGCAAAGTTAATTCCCAAGTAAAGCAACTCCGGTGCAGGTACAAATGTCTGGTAAGATATTGGCCCCAGTTACTGACCCCTCTGCTAAAGCCTCCTTCCATCCCACATGTACCTGCAGCACTACACTATCTGTGCTGCTAATACCAGACGTTAATCTACCCTTTGGCACAAGCAGTCCAAGTTGACTACTTAGGATACAATTCACCCTGCCCTACTCAGACCTGGACATACACCAGCACCTGAACGCCCCAAGTGAGGAGGGAGAGATACTAACGAATTATACAAGGAAAAAAAAGTATTATAGACAGAATAGGACTGGACAGGAAAATGGGATGGATTGGGATTTTACGAAGAGGTAAAGGCAAGTAAGTGTTGTTTGGTTTTTTTTTTTTAAAATTACTTGTTTTCAATTATTTTGAAATAAGTGTTTCCAAGGCTCCACATTATCAAAAGAGAGACCTAGATTAAGAACAAAGTAAAGATCAGAAAGCAGTGTTAAAAAAAAAAGCGCAAATAATTAACTGACAGTTCATGCTGTGAATCACTGAGCTTGAAACAAACTCGCCCACATCTGTTGATAAACTTCATTAACTGAAAAAATGATACTGAATGAATGCCGTCCTGCATGCATAATGCCTATCTTCTGCTTGGATATCTAAACCGCAAGGACAACTGAAACCTCAGAAGTTCAAAGATTTTCTCAGTTGTTTTGGAAGACAACACAGCACACACCTGAGGCTCACTTCCAAAGGGGACAAAGGAGGCTGGCACACCATCAAGAGGACTAACCTCCCAATTAACTATCAAATTGGTAAACAGTTTCTAGTCTGCAATAAGCTCCATTCATGGAAAATTGAATTTCTAGGACCAGCTACTGTATCAACAAGAGAAGAGTAGGCGAAAGTGTTTTTAAACACTGACGTCTGTCAGATGGATGGCTGCAACAATTTATGCTCTGCTGCTGTTAACTATCTTGTCTTCCTGGTGCTTTTAAGGATGAGCTGCAGAGGATTTAAAAAAACAATGCAAAATTACTTCCAACATTAGCAATGATAATTACTTTTGATATGTCCATTTTTATCCCTAGATCTGGAAGTGCTCTACAAAAGGTATATAGTATCACCGACATTGTAGCAAGAAGCACGATCAACTGAAAGACAGCTCATATCTCACCTACGCCTGCATCTTTATTCTCCTGGACTCACGTTATCTCACTGCAAGAAGTAAGGATACAGTTCTCCCCCTCCCTGTGCAAGAGGCTGCTCTCTCCAAGGCACAGCAGAGAGACATGGACAAGTTACCCTTTTCAGATTACCCTTCCCTGCTATCACGTCTCCATTTACCTTAAGCAACTACGTTCAAGCATGACATCACCTTGCCCCACATCTGACTGAAGCTTCACATTTTCCACAAGGAAGCACACAGTCCCACATGACTATGACAGCAGAGACTATAGACGAAAGGACTGAAATGCATTTCCCCCCTTCATCAACAGAAGCAGTCACCATTCACTGGCTGCTGTCCTGATCCATTTGAAGTGCATCAGGGCCACTTTTAATTACCAAAAGTTCAAATTCTTCAACATATCTCAGTACTGCTATGTTCCACACCTCTCTTCATTAGCCTTTAAGAATATGGAATGTCCAAAGTGGCACAAGCTTTTGCATGTCCTGTAAAACCAGTACCTTACTTTAAAATTAAAACAACAAAACAAAACAAAAAAACAAACCCCAAACAAACAACAAACAAAAAACCCCCAAAGCTATCCCGGAATGTAGAAGTTCAAGTGGAACACGGCACTGCACATACTAATAAAAATTTATGAGGAGGATTAGGTTAGTCTACTAATGATCAATTTATTGTCTACACTTACTGGAGAATCTCATATTCATTCAGATAATCCTTTTATCCCCCACCATGACTAATTTCCTCTTGCAGAACACCATTAGAAAATGAGACACTAGTAAGTAAAAAGCTATGATGTCTGGAGCCTACTTAAAGGACCTTAGTTTCCAGTGGGACTGCAAATAATTTCAGTAATGCGCTCTTTCAGAACACTCTTCATTACTTTCTTCATTTGTGAAGTTACTCAGGAGAATAGTTATTTCAATTTAGAGACCACAAGCCCAAGAAACAGAAATGAACAACTTCTGAAGATGCATTAATCAGTAGAAATCTGACAGAAGTATACTTCAGAGCAACAGATGGTACAGTGCCAAATCTTTATTAGTTTTGTTCAAACTAATTGACTTCATTATAAAGCTGAAGAATCTACCAGGGCATTTCCACTATTTTATCTCAAAGAAAAGCAAAATGAAAGACTCTGTGTTTAGGGAACATTGGTTCTTTAGGTTTTTCAGAATGCATTAGGACTCCTCCTGATCCCAGCTTCTAGCATGTACTGTCCTACTCTCAAGGTGCTCTCAGAAATGCAAATACAGTTTCTAAGCAGAAAAGGCTCCTTTGCAAGGAATATTACAAATAGGTTCCTAAATGGTCAGTAGTTCAGGTTCTTAACTAATTTCCCATAGGTCCTTAGTCACTTTAACTTAAAATAGGAGTGTGTCCACAAAAGTGTTTGTGGCTAAAACTGGATCCATGTTTCATGCTCAGCGTAATTCCATGAAACCAGTTCCCCAGCATCTACAAAAAAAATGCCTTTTGATAGGGGAAAGCCTAAAACCAAGAAATGAGTCATTCGAAAACATACTTTTCAAATAAATAAAAACAGCACCATCAAGGGAAGCAGAGAAGGTACTCAAAATTTGTAGAAAAAGTCCACTGATCACAGTACAATCGACAAATGAACGTGTGGTTCTCAGTACGTACGGCACAGTTTGTATTGCAAAATGCCTGCTTTTTTTTTTTTTTTTTTTTTACTTAGCTTGGCAGTTAACCTTACCTGGCTCACTCTCTACTGTATTATATACCTCCCTGTGTAGATCCACTCCCCCTAACCTGGATAAATGACCTACTCTTCACACTGACCCCGCCTGACAGACCTACATTGTCAAGCCCTGCAACAAGAGAGTCCGTGGCAGGCAAATACCTCCAAGCACTGCTATTGTGGCCACCGAAATAGGGATAAGTCTGCAAAAATGAAAGATCTATGATATTTTATTTCAAATCAAAATAATTTTAACAATATCCTAAACACAGGACATGGTGAACAGATTAATACTCCACAGTTCTGCCTTACCGTAAGCAACCAGAAGTGTTCTTGAAGACAGTTGTCCACTCAGCATCGCGAGGCTTAGAGTCCTCATTCGGCTCACTCTCCCAACCTGAATGGGGTATAATCACCTCATTGGTAAGTGTCTGCAGACCATGGTTGATGATGACCATCTTCAGGGGCTCGTAAGAGGACAAGTTCCACAGGGTGCCTGCAGGAGAAACAGTGATTATTAAATAGCACGAGAATAATAACTGCTTAAAATCTCTAGATTAAATAGAATTACTAGATTCACAGAGAATCGCTAGAAGGTTAAATCATAAAACTAAATGAAAAGGCGAAACCACTTGATGAGATGCCAGACTAGCACATAGCTTAGGGAAAATTCCACAGTCGCTGCACCAGAAGCATTTCCAAAAGCATGGAAGCACTTTCATCAAGACATGGATATTGTTGAAGTCATCAAGTCCCACAACAGAGTACATAAACGTGATGTGCTATGGGAGATAAACAGGATTTTTCTGCTATATACAAATTTTGTTACACTTTTAAGTCTAGCTATGCCTCAAAAAGCAGAAATTCATCCAGACAAGTATATTGAGCAAGTCTTAAAAACCAGGATGAATTTTTTCGAGCATCATTGATCTTACGCTTATCCTCTGCACAAGACAATATTTCATTCAAGTCTCCTCTCTATTATTTAGTTTCACATTTTCCTGTCACAGGCAATATCTGTGTTCAAATTACCTGGTGCCACAAGCATATGATTCCTTGAAGAAGCTGAGAACCAAAACTCCTCTGTCTTTCCATTTTTACCTCAATTACGAGCCAAACTAGACAGCAGTCAAACATCAAAACAACATAACAGAAGAACAGCCTTACAACTGTAAAAATATCCAGTCTTAGATAAACAATACAACTTCCCAGCAGACCCGTATCAGTGTTCTGATAGTTATTATTGCTCATTAGGTCAGGACTAAAACAGGACATTCACTTCAGAGAGAGTTTCTGCATAGGCCCAGCCTGGTAACATTTGAGAACTATCAGTAACAATACTTGGAGGGAGCCAGATGCACAGTTTTGATCTCCAAGGAAAAGTGTGAAGACTAGCAAAATCTCAGAGAGACCAAATGGAAAAGCTAGATTCCCCAGAACACACAGGGAATCTTTCCTAAGTGGATACAATATCAACCCGAGGCTCCCTGTGTTACTACAACTGTGAACTTTTGCATGTTACAGTGCAAATTGTAGATACTCACCTCTTAGTATACATGTCTAAAGCAAAACACAAAAGAACAACAAAGGTGCAACCTTTTGTTTCAGTCCCTTTCAATCACTCCAAGTTTTAAAACCTACAATTTTCAAGCTTTAAAAACGACTGGAAAAAGATTTTGGATCCATTACTTTTGTCACACAGTCTAACCAACACGTGGACTTGCTGGACCCTGTCAGTCAACGGAACGGACGCGGCAGTGAGGGAGCCCGCAGCTCCGCGGCGACCCAGCGCGCCGAGAACCGCCGGGGCCACCACACCTACCTCCAAGTCAGCGAAGGCAGCGGCCTCGTGGGAACTCGCCTTTCGCTGCTACAAGTTAGAAGTGTCAAATGCCCAAAGCCCTATTTTAATATCAGAGTATTATCCATATAGGGTCATGACAGGCACCCGGTCAGGACGGGAATTTTATCTCCATTTGAGTAGCGACTGGCACTTATACGATAACCTCAAAGGCTGATGATTAGCAGAGCCTCGGAAGTCAAATGCCTCCATGTCTCCTATTCAAAGTGATCTTTGCAAAATCCAGGCATCTGTTCAGACTTAGGAGACCACATTAATTAATAAAGAAACTCTGAGGCAGACAACAGAATGAACACCATAATGTTCCTTTCAGTCTTTTTCTAAAACCGTACAAAAATGCTGCTTTTTTGGCCTAATTCCCTTGCCATTCATAGACAACACACTGTATGAGATTTTCATAACCTACATTTTTAGCTTTCAAACAAGACTGTATAGGTGAAATAGGAATTTATTTTCTCTTTGTACCCAATACAATAAATCACCCTTTGTCATTGCAAAACACACAATGGACAATAAGAAAAAAACCAAACCCAAGCAGAAAATGCTAATTGGTCCCATTTTGTTGTGGAAGAAAGCCTTTACTTTTCATAACAAATTGGCTCAAAAATACACATCATACAAGAAACAAACGCAAGTCAGTATTTATAAGACAACTAAAAACTGACATACAAGCTACCCAAATAATCTGAAATAGACAGTTTTTCTTTAGTTATTTTACACCAATTCCTTAAGCACATCAGACTTCCTAATATAAAACCAATAATAACAACTAAATCCCTAAATACATTGCTGGCTCAGTACTTCAAAATTCAAATGCAAAATCACAACATTCAGCACTGAACTAGATGGATAAATCCCAGGAAATTACACAGGATCATCATCTCTAGAGCAAACCTAAATTCAAACTGAGAACAGTGGGTGCAGAATACCCTGGTTCCGGAGGGTTATGTCAAGGTTCCCTCACAAGAACATAAATGGAGCATTTGGTATTTGCAGTGCTCAAAAAAATATTAGGAGAAGATGGCATCAACTGAGGAACGTAGTACAGCATTCGTCAGGATCCTGCATTTCTGAGCTTTTGAAACTGCAAAATATTGCAACTGGAAACAACGTAGAGATTTAAAATCATCTGTACCTGGAAGAGCTAAGTTTTAATATCTGACAGCCCTTCATATTTAAGAGCTCCTTCCTTAAATGCACATACTTCTTTTGCACCTGAAATGAGATTCTGCCTTTTCCTCTTTCCTGGAGGAGTGACATAATGTGTTATCTGTAGTGTGAGACTACAAAGGCAAATTTCACTGCTTAGTAAGAATCAGGCAGACATATACTTAAAAAGCCAAAAATACCTGTAAAATTTCCAAAAGCTCTAATATTACAGGATTGTACAAAAGTTTTCCAGTGCTCAAATCTTTTGCTTGTTTTAAGACTTAGAGATTTGTGTCTAGATTTCCATACTTTCAACCCCAATGTGTGAAATAAAATCATCATCTCCAAACTCCCTCTTTTCCTATATTCTCATTCACCAGTAGTTATTTCAAGAGACTAAATGCAACTGGGATTCCATAGTATTCTAACTGGATTGCAACACTGAAAACAGCACAAACCTGCCAATCTACCACCCACAAGACAGCTTCGCTGATGCTAGTAACCCCATCCAGACCAACAGAAGTACCTGCCCATACAAAAGGATCTCTTGTAAATATTCATCCAGAGTTTTAAATATTCACTCAGAGTTTTTATTAAGAGGCTGACTGCAATTTATGCAATAAACCATTTAGGGCAAACACATTTTGACGGTCACTCTCATTGAGTGGCTACCAGACAACGGGGACTGAAGTTACACAGAATGCCTTTCCTCCACCCCCTTTGAAGAAAAAACCCCCAACAGTTAACAGTTTACAAGCTTTTCAATTTCTCATCTGCCTCCCATCTCTCAAATGTTTCATAGAAAACACTGACAAACCGTGAAGAAGAATAAAAGACAATCTTACTATTAAAAAAAAAAAGGCACAAAGCTCTTCAAATTATTCAAAAATGTCAAACCACTTAAATTTATAATATTCTCCCTGATGGCTGCATGAGGAAAACCAGAAGAATCCCTCTGTTGAACAGCATTCAGTGAAGGAAAATGCACGTAGCCCAAGATAAACAGTGTTGAGGGAATCTTGTGGTTCGAAAGGCAGAGAAAAAATTCAGCTTCGAGGTTGACTTCATTGGGAAGATATTCCACAAGAAGGGATACAGAAAATAAACAGTGACAATACATTTTTCTTATTCAAAATTATGAAACAAAGAGGTCTAAATCCCAGCATCCTTTCAGCTCTTGAGAAAACAAATTCCATGGAAAAGACACTGATAGTGGCAGCCACAGAAACTTTAAAAACACCAAAAGTGAACAAATTCAGATAAGAGTGTAGGTTTTAGCAGTGTGAGAGAAAATCTAAGTTTAAAAAAAAAAAAAAAAAAAATCCCTGTAAATTTGACATCCATCTTTAAAAATCATTCCCTGTCTCTATTAGCATAACACAGTACTGATCTAACAAGCTGGAAACACTGTTTTTAAAACTCTAAGTTTAATCAATTCAAATGAATAGCACTCAAGAGAAATCAAGTCACTAACACAATAGCATAAGAGAAACGAAGTTATCTAAATTTTCTATGTACTTTCACTACAAGTACTGGCCTTTTTGACCGCAGTGCATGAATTTTAGGACTAGAGAAAGAAGATAAACTATTGCTTTTCAGAAGATGATCACAATCATGATCAATCTTTATTCTATTCATAAATACTATTTGTATATATTATATATTTCTAACTACAACCATTACCTCTACTCTTTCAGCATGTTAAGCAGGGACAATAGCTACAAGTTTTTATTTCAAAAGTACTAATTATTGTAAAAATATATTAACAATTACTATAAGCTATAAACATAGCTATATGATTTACATATTAAGAGTGATTAGGGCCACAGCCATAATTTCCTAAATCTCTGCCTCCTTGGAGCTGTAGAAAGATTTCTGAAGAAATTGTGGCAGAATACATACATGCTATTATCTTCTGAAATCCAAGGGAATCTCTTCCTGCTGTGCTTGCTTACTTGCAAAAATCCAATGTCACCAAGAAATTAGAAGAAGCAGCTGTTTAATTCTGATCTATGGTCCATACTAAATCATTTAGCATTTGGGAAAATAAAGCGTTCTGCATTACATTCACTGAGGACTTCTTGTTGCATGTCAGTCCTGTATGCATTTGTTTGACAGACTTGTTTGTATCATTCCAAGTCCTGAAGATGGGAGCTGTGCTTCTTCAAGTTAAGTAGTGGTCAAGTTTAGAACCTCAACATGAACTACTGTGTCATAGAATACAGCATGACAAGAGACCTACTTCTGACAAGTTTTCTAATAGAAAATGGAAGGCGTAAGCTCACGTGTAATCAGAAAGTTCAAGACAGCATGGTACTTCAAGGAGAAGCTAGTGTCTGATCAGCTGACAGGATCTTAGCATACATAAATGCCCAGAAGGTGTGAATTCTGAGCAAGCTGATCGATCTGCAAGTTTCTATTATAGTATTAGATCAAAATATTTCCTCTGCACAGCATTTTGAAGGTCAATCATTTTTCAATTAAAACCAGTTTGGCAACATTCAGCACGTTCTGCACCACTTAAAATCAGTGCAATGTCGTTAAAACACAAAATTACTTTCGATGTTCTCACAAAGAACAAAATTATTCATTAAAGCTACCAACTTCTGATTGCTTTTCAAAGAATGTAATAGAATTTTGGTCTTGCATATCTGATGGGAACATTTGCTGCACAAAAAACCTTATCACTCAAGATAAAACTTTTGGAGCTTTCCCAATCAGAACAGATTTAATTCCTTATCAGCTTAATCCTCATTTCTCTTGGTTTCTCAAGAAAATGAGCCACTGAAAGTTCAGTAGTACAGTTCCAGACTAAAAAGGGATGCAAGGAAGAATTTTGTGAAGTACTTCTCATCATAACTCCACTCATGATTTACTTATGGACACTCTAAACAGTTAAATAAAGCTTTTCTCAGTGCAGTAGATGGGAGACATTTTGTAACTCCACACTTCAAAAAGAAAGAAAAGTGAGATCCGTGGTATTTTATGATTGTATCTTGAGTTTTGAAGGTATTTTTACACGCCTCGCGTATCTTGACGGACATCATGTTTTAGTGCTGTATGCAGACATATCAAGAACGTCTGGTAAAACAGACACGGCATTAACCCAGAGAAGGTTTTCAAATTCTGCTAAAACCAGTGCTGTCTGAAAGAAAGAAGCTACAGACTTGCTTAATGTGGCAGTAGCGTTGTATCAGCACACTCAGCCTGCTTCCAAAATTGCATCTCAATACGTTTGTCTAACTTTGCGTTCTCCAAAACAGATATTCTGGCAAGTAGTCAAGCGAACACACTTGTGACACATCAAGTCTCACTCATTCAGCACTGAGCATCACACATCTGATTCCTCCCTCACGCTCCCCTGCCACTGCATCCACCTCTTACGTGTTTTTAACATACTGGCATGGCTTTCTCCCCACTCCATTAACCCACTGACCAGACCCAGCTGGCTGGCCTGATTCATACTGTTCTGCACAGCTGTAGCTGCTGCATCAGATCACCAAGTTAATGAGAGGCCACAGAGCTGTACTAAAGCCAAGGACTGACTCTCAAATTAAATGAGAATGAAGCCCTTTTTTGCCAGAAAGCACCCTCTCCAGCTGCAAATAATGCATCTTATTGTATGCTCCCATGTACCCCCCGTCCTGCAGGCAGGCAGTGCCCACACCCAGAGAAGCAAAACTTCAGGACTGGAAGTGGTCTTGAATTCGGACATCTGAATTATTTAAATTTCTTTAAATCACTTAAATCTCTTTGGAAAGCAGGATTATTTTATCATTCTTCCACATCTGGGATGACCAGCTGATGATTATTATTCAGCTTTCAAAAAAGCAGCCAGTATTGAGTTAAAGAAATATTAAACCACAGAAAAGTCAAAGTGGTATACCAAACCTGAATTTGCAGCCTGTTAAAAGAAATAAACAAGCAAACCCTATATGCTGTTGTATTTTCTTCCTTTTTTTTTTTTTTTGTTTGCATTGCTGCAGAAGTCCCCAGAGATTTCACTCCAGACAGAATGAAAACCTTTCACAGCAAAGGTAGACTTTGGTTTATCACTAGGGAAAAGTACCCGGATAGGAAGTCAAGATTTCTACCACAATCACAGAATTGTGATCTGAACTTTTGAGGCTGCAAAATACAGTCCTTTTCTAGCAGCCCTGGCTGAATGCTCCCTTTGCACCTCAAATTGGCTCTTGTTTCTCTCTGCTGATTTTTGGAGCTTATTTTTTTGAATAGACCATTCCACATTATCAGCCGAGGCTTTGAACACTGACTGCAAGTACACCAGCATCAGTCACAGAGGCATTGCTGGAATACTCTTCTCTTCTGTGTTGATGCTTGAATGTCTCACACAGGATCTGGTGGTATCATTTTAGAAGTGGAACGAAATTATTCCTGGTTAGGTGGAGATTAAATGCACATCACCTGTTGCTGGACATCTGTTTAGGTTAATGCCCTCAGTATCCCTGGTGTTTCTCAGTAAGGGGAAATAAAGACCTTTAAATAGCAAAAACCAAAGTGGAATAAAAATACTACATTTAATTAGCAGGAGCTACTGTCCAATAAAATGCATTTGAACTGTAAAACTAATTAATCAACTGGAAATCAAAACAACCGCCATTTAGAGTGAAAAAGGAAAACATCCAGTTTGGTTTTGCCATCTCAAAAGTGACTGCTTACCACTTAGCATTATAATGATACTCCTTCAGAGTAAATTATAGACTGGCTTCTCCTTTCTTGAATCTAAAAAAATAAATTTATTCCTTCTCAGCAATCCAGAAATGAGTTTTGAGTAAACTAAAACAGTAGACAAACGGATATTCTTTATTTTTAAAAAAAAAAAAAAAATTTAAGTCAGCCATCATACTAAATAAGTGCAACAAATGGAATATATATACTACCTACAGAGTTTCCATGTTAAGAGACAAAGCACAAACAGCAATCAAGCACAACTAACACGCGCTGCTTAGAGGTTCTCCGACAAAAAAGACAGATCTCCTTTAGCAGCTCACTGGAAAAGGACTGGAAAAACATCCCTGCTAGTTTCTACACTGTATATTTAGACCTAGTTTGCTAAATATCCTATAATGGCTGGGGAAGAATAGTTGCAACATCCAAGGCCACTGTTCATCTTAGAGAATTATGATTACCAGTAAAAACTTGGAGAGCTGCTATAATTTTTTTGAGGCGATTATAGAATTATGATGTTTACTTCTAATGGCTTAATCTATGTTTGCAATAGGGTCTGCGTGGAGAATCGAACATTGGAAAGGTAGCTAAACAGTTTCAGCCCTGGACTCATTTTCGCAATCACAAAGCTTTCTGAAGAATTCTTTTCTGGCACTGAAATTCATTGCAACTGCCCTGATCTCCATCCAAACATCCCCTGCTGCTTCGGAGAAGAGAAAGGGAAATCCATTTCACTCCTCTTGAGTTATGGGAGACTGAAGAACAATGTATTTCTCTTTAGTTTAAGAGCTGACATACTTTCCCACCCTCTTCCACTTAATGGCTGAACTTTGAAACTTGGCATATACTTTATTACTCTTTTTGGATGATGTCCAAGACTAAGTTCAAATAAAAAACAGGTTGAATATTGGAGTTATAAGTGAAAACTCCCTGCAAAGTGTGCACGAACTCTGTAACTTCAAAATGTAATTCCCCCTTTTCCGATTATTGCAACAAGCAAACGCCGTGTTCAGAGCATCTCAACAGCAGACTCTACGCTCCTCAAAAATCTAAGTTCTCCAGCCCAGAAGTGCTGCAACTTTATACACAGCCCCAGAGTCCCCGGCACCAGGGCCTGGAAGTGTTCCTGAGGAGACTGACTGTTCTATCAGTATGAAGTAGTGGGGACATGGCAGCAGGATTGTTTTATAAGAGATTAACAAGGAAAGTTTTAGATTAGCATATCTTACCTCATGATTATAACACACGGAGGGAAAGCGCACTACAAATTACTTGTCAATGAAGTTGCTATAACTCATTTAAGCTTCAGTAACTCAACCACATGCAGTTGCATGCTACATCCAAGAAGTGTCATTCATCTCTCAGCAGCCAGGGAAATCTGCATGTGCTACACACAGAGATGATCTCCGTTCCCTCCTGAAGGGCATGTTTGCCTTAGCCTTTCTCACACCACAAAAGTGGTGCAGCTAAAGAAACAGCTGCAGCCAGTGATCTAACTTCTCCTTCAATGCACTCATCTCCAGAAATTCTTGTTCCTGAAGCTAAAAGGACTCCTCTAAAGAATAATTCATTAAAGAAACTACAGACACTGACCTGTAATTAGCTCTCTGACTTCCATGTCGTTTGTTTTTCGCAATAGTCTGATCAATGCAGGGATCCCATCACAGTTCTTTATTGCCACCTTGTTTTCGTTATCCTTCCCATAGGAGATGTTTCTGAGAGCCCCACAGGCTTTACGATGGACCTCTGGCTTTGGATGATCTAGTAGGCCCACCAAGATAGGTATCCCTTTGAGATGCCTCACGTCCTTTTTGATTTTATCATTCTCGTAGCACAAGTGCTGCAAGTAGGCTGCAGCATTAGACTTGACTGGATCAATAGGGTGGCTGAGCATGGCAATTACTTCAGGGAGGTCAGGGTCCCTCCACCTGGGGTCTTTACGAATGCTGTCAATAGAGGGGGAGCGCTTCCCCAGACGGTCAATACTAGCCATGCTTCCTCTCTCTGGCTGTGCCAGTGGTGCTGCGTAGCCACCATGAAGATAGGGTATCCTCTCTTCAACCATCTCTGTCTCGATGGGGTCATCGTAGCCCCTGTAAGAAGCAACAGTCCCAAGAGAAAGAAAGGGGAGGGGGGAAAAAAAAAAAAACAAACCACATTTAAACACTCTGTACTTCTGAGTCAGTATGGAGATTTCAGCTATGAGCAAATCTTTTAATATCACAACCATCATTAGGGGCAGCATATTTACACTTTCAAATAATTTATTTGTAGTAACTTGAAAATTAACCATAGCTGAGTACTTAGCACCACCTCAATTACAGCACAGTATTTGTTTGGCTAGCAATGAAACAATGACAGGAACTGCAAGTCATCAAACAGATTGCTTTCATTTTGGTCACTTAGCAAAACAATTATGATAGAGCTGGATTACATTTAGTAGGAAACACTGAGCTTTATTAATGCCACTACTTCTGCAACAAACCAAAACTCTAATTAAAGGCATTCAAGGCCTGAGCAGAGACCACAGGCACTTTTCAGCAAGTCTGAGAAGTTCCACTACATTTCCATGTTGATGCTTACACAAGTATACTGAACTCATTAATATACATAACAATGTCAATGATGATGGAAAACCTAAGTCCTGAATTCAAGCATGTTGTAAAAGTAAATCTTGTACAGAATCATTTGGAATACGCTAAGAGGCTGATGGTCAAGAAATCTGGCTACAACTTTTTAACACCAGAGTAGTTTGCTGGACATCCAAAGCAAGTCCAGTACTCTGAGCTTTCCTCCTCACATCAGCAACTAACCTGATGTTAGACACTCTTAAGATCATTTACAGCGTTAGAACGAATGCCATAATATCATTGTGCCATAATTCACTGTATGTAACTGAAGGTCAGTCACAACCAGCTAACACACCTATTTAGATACCACTGTCCTAGTTCACACAAAGGGCAAAGTTACAATCAACACAGTTGAAAATATTCTAACACAGTACATTCTCACACTTACAGATGTCCATATTCTTTAAAAAAAAGATAAAGAAAAAGAAATATTTGTCAAATACTGGTTAACAACCACTGCTGCAACTATAACCTCTAACCTTCAAGAAAAAATCCCGCCCCCGCAATAAACTTTCTACAACTAGCTGCTAAAGGCAGAACATTTCTGCAAGAGATTTATAAGGAGAGGCATTTACAACTTCAGAACTTGTTTTTGAGATTCACTGAAGTACTTCATCCTTTATTCAAAGTGACACCTTTCATCCTCCAGAACATGCACAGTTGATGCAGGGCAGCTCCAATGCACGTGCGGCGTGCACCCATCTGTGAGATAACACTTACGTCCTAAGGCGAAGTACAACGGGAAATCTGCAGCTTGCACACAGTGACCCACTGCTCACAAATTCTTCAATGTTGTATGTGAATAAGCCCACAGGGCAATAAGGCGACTTGCACCTAACAGCTGCGAACTGCCACAAACATTTTCAACTCTATCTATCCTCTCTCAGGCTTTGCCCCAAAGGCTCTCACCAGCTCGCTAACCTGGCTGAGAAGGATGAAGAGCTGAGGTGACCCACTGGGGAGCCGAACCAAAATACCAGCTAAACCCATGGTTTTAAACCTCAAGTCTAGAAGATTTTTCTTCTTCATCCTCCCTTCCCGCTAATACTACTCTTAATAGATGTTAATATAAGCTGACTACTTTTTTTTTTTTTTTTTTTAAAAAACAGCAGCAGCTTTTTGCCTTACTGTTTTTTCCTGGACAGATTAGCCACTATCTCAGTATTGTAGTTACCTCAGTCAAGCAAGTAGTTTTAATTGCTACAAAATTATTCTTAAAAACTTTCATTTTAAGCACTGACTGATGTTACTGAACAATTTCTCATGTCATGCTGAAGGAAGTATAGACCATTAGAACTCAGAAAGAAAATGGAGCTTGCTGTTATCCTAAAGGGACTGCTAATTAAACTAGACTCTGGGGAGAAGAGCAACCAGAGGTGGAGACTGAACTTAGTCTTGTACAATTAACGCTTTTAACGTTAAAAGCACCTTTAAGTTACTTTAATTGCTGTTCTAAACCATAAACTGAATGAAAGGATAAAAATGGGCCAGTATCCAAAGCTCAGAATGAATCTGAAGAAATCCTTTTATTGATGCAGTTAATTGTGTATGTATAATTCAGTACTTGCTCTACATGGTAATTTACAATGTCTGGACAGCCGTTGTATTTTCTGTTACAGAACAAAGCTGTTTCCATCATTCCAAGAAGAAAGTAACAACATTGAAAAGATTTACTTTTGTGCATACACACAGGGCAGAAGTAATAACAAAACTACTCCTCAAACAAAATTCTGTTTTTACGTAGGCAATTTTGAGACAACCAGCATTAAAACTACAACAAAAACTCATTCGTCAAACTCATCCTCATGTTAAATTCTTATTGACTACATAAAAGAAAAGCAGCAGCAGATTAATTTTAATAATTGACCTCTGCACAGCTGTTGCTTGCTTGACTTGGTAACTCGCAACTCAGCACGCCCCAGTCCTATGAGCTGCCCACAAGGTAACCGTACACCACCTCAATTACACCTGCACAATTCATTTCTCGTTCCTTCTCATCCATGCAAATACACAAAGATAATTATTGTCTTGGGATGCAGTTTGTTTGCATTATTTCCACGAAGCCTTCCAAATAGAACCACACGGATGGGCCCATCTTCCTCATGCTGTATCCTCTCCCCTGTGCCACACAAAGCTCCTTGTTTTCATTACATTTGCCCAAAACAAAGCTTCAGAGTTAGGACTTAAAATTGCAACACTGTCATGACAAGAGAGAGCACCACATAACTCTTGTACCAACAGCACTAGCTTTTTAAAAATTGTCAATCACTATTTATTAAATATGAATGTGAATACCTGAAGTAAAGAATCAGACATTAAAAAAAAAAAAGGAAAAAAAAAGAAGGAAGATCACATCCCAACTTGCTAATTATTCTAACAAAGTTTTTTTTTAAAAAGGGCTTTTTCTTCCATTGTTCCAATACAAAGCTACTGATGCACCAAAGACAGCCAACAGGCTTTGATGATCCTTGCCTTTGATGATCCCTCTCTGATGAAATCCCCAGGACACAGAGCTGGGGTAGAACAGGATATGGGAAAATGCCGAGCGTTTCACGCTGCAAGGAGCAGGTCGCATTCCTGAGCGCCGTGGCTGGATGGTTTAGTATGAATCACGCAGGTGGTGGTGGGGAGGGCAGCATTCCTTAGAACCCACCAGCTACTGCTCCACGGGGAAGTGACCACAGCATATAGTGCTGGCCCCATCCCCACAGCAGAAGCAAAGCACCCTCAAGAAACAGACCCTGAACCCTAAGTGACTTTTAACAACTGTTGACATTTTCATATAGTCCCATTCTGACATGGACCATTCACTTACAGCTCTGTTCCTGCCAATCTCAACCTGATTCTGCTGGACCATCTCCTTAGTGAAAAAATAGGATTGCACGTCTAACACAACCATTTTAATACATAAAGACAGCTACTTCGAAACAAGACAGTGTCTCTCAAGTACTTGTAGAGAAAGGATGAACACAAGAAACACTATTGCTGAAATAAACCCACGCAGGTCAGATCCAACATACCTCTGTAGGATGAAACAGTGTCAAGAGCCACTGGTTAATGCACCAGTAACAAAACCCAATGACTTTATCTGACAGTAAAGATAACACCTGGACACTTGACCCTTCAAGACCCTGAATAATCATCTAGAAACTCTGAGATCCTGGTGTAAACTTAAGAGCTGTACAAGAAAGCTCAGCAAAGGCAGGTATCACACCAATTCAGATTCACATGACTAAATACAGTGATCAAGTCTGGAGAAGGTAAAAAAAAAAACCAAACCAACCAACCCAAACAACCCACACTGTAATTAAAGGAAAAGAATCCTGAAATATTTTACAAGGGAAGCTCTAAATATCAGCTCTGCCATTGCTTGACAGCATTGAAGAGAAGCAGTTTACCAAAACAGATCATCTGCAAAGGAGCAAAATAACTGATCAGGCAGGGTAAAGCAGAACTACCACTTCGACTGCCTTGGGAGATGGAGATCCCCACTCTCTGTGCAAGTGAGGATGGTCTGGCCCAGGTCAAGTCCCATCTCCCCTCCTTTAACAGGAGGCTTGGGGGTCAGAGAAGTGCAGACTAGGCAAAGAGTGAAGAAGTCAAAGGCAAGTATCTATGAGGGAGTTGAACACACCCAGTTTCTGAAGACAAATGAGTAAAATCAGCAACACATTTACACAGAGAGTAAAGAAATCATCTTTCTGACTGGGACTGGTGGGGGTCCAAATGCAATTTTTCACTTTCACACCAGCAGAGCAGCTACGTTGGAAAGGCAAGCCACTTGACACAGGAGGAGGACTAATGAGAGCTTCAGCAGATACAGTCGTCTGTGCTCAGGAGGCCAAGAGCTCTTTGCTCTCGGGACTGAAGAGATCTGGTAGTATGCCAGAGTTGCTGACTACAAGCATCTTGCCTTCCATCTGTTTGCAGCAAGGCAGCTGAGTTTTTAGGATGCCATGGGTCCCACTAATCACCTGTCTCAGGGAATTGATCAAAACGTGTTCTAGCATAGATAAAAACTGGGAGTGAGCTTGTGGATTTATCATCTTCCTTGTGGCTTCAACATAGGCACATTTGAGTAAACAGGTGAAGGATTTACACGTTTAATCCTCAACAATTTATACAAGTGTTACATTCATCACAGTTTGCAGCTGGTGTCTGCTTAGGATAAAAGACCAGAAAGGCTTGGGATTTTCAGTAGTGAACTTAGTGCCGCACGCTGAAGAGGAAACCTAAAGACTTTGCAGAATGAGGTCCTACTTTTGCCAGCCTCTGTTCTCTGACAGGAGGACGCACAAGAGGATTCAAAACTGGACTGAATCCTCTGCTGAGCCAAGTCTGAGTTACGGGCCATATGGTTAAAACACCAAAATCCCCTTGACTGGAACCACCTAAAAGCTGCTAATGGATGAGCTGACTCAGGTTGCCGCCTGCCACATAAAACTCAGCCACACGTCAGTCTTCTGCTACCAGAAGATCAACAAACTGAGATCAAATTCACTCTAAGGAGGAGCCTCAGAAAAACACCGATCTTTTCCAAACCGACTGCATTTTTTGCTTCACCCTGTTCTGCCCAGGCATGCCCATACACTCCTGCCCCAAACTAGACAACATCCCACCGTTGCCTCCATCCTGGTATTACACTTACGGTTGGTCATTAAACCAAAGAGGCCGATCTACAGTGACAGATACCTCCCCAGCCTTAAGGATGCCCGCACGGGTGCTGCTGTGAGACCACACTTGAAATGGATGAGGTTTATCTACAAATATAAGCCTTTATATTCTAGATTGAAAAAAGACACCAGAAGTAGAATGAGACTAACGTGTATGTGATACCAATATTCTCGCACTGTCTATACATAACAGAAGCAAGAGAGACCTCGTGTTACAGCAATTTAATCTAAAATCTGGTTTGCTTCCTGGTAATAATAATTTGGACCATGAAGTGACCACCAAATATAGTCTCAGTCACTTAGGTCAGGCTTCTGCCATAGAAAATTTAACAGCAGAAAAGTGTTTTGTTGTTGATTTAGTCAACATTAAAAATTCATATCCTGTCTAGTCTGGAATAGTAACACTGGCAATAGCTGCTCCAGAGTTTTTAGGAAAAAAGAAGTCCCACGAATGCTAGTACAAGCGCAAACTGTAGTGATCCACTCTGGAAACAAATTACCACAGAGGCAAGAAATGAAAAGTTGAAGAGAAGATAATTTAAAAAAATAAGATTAATTATGACTTGCCATTTTTTCCTGCTTATTTGTGTAAACTTCAATTTAATGAGTAAAAAATATTCGAATAATAGTAGGGATGTTTTTCTGAATGAAAAATATCCAGTACTTCCTGCTTCTCTTTCGAAAAGTACTGTATATAAAACACTTAGCAATACCATAAGACTACATGTTTTTAAAGACTATAATAAAAAAACTCCTAATTTAATAAAGGCAACCTACCAAATGAAGAAAAAAAGGGCATAAAACCAATTAAAGATGTGTAAATACCTTCAAAAGTAAATTTGAGTAATATTAAATCAGTATTATACACCCCAAATGCCTTTCTCTCACCCCAGTTTATTATGCAATCTGACTTAAACCAAACCAGAGCACATGCTGAGGAAAAGAACATTAAGTGCCAGGTATTCTTCTTGCAGAAAATAATGTATCTTACAGCAAAGACTCAGTATAAAAGAAAACAAGAAACAAACCCAGCCACAAGCACTAAAGAGCTGACAGAGAGAATATTTGCCTTTGTGCACTTATCTGGATTTGTAGATGTTTGTGAGGAGGCACATTTTTCCCCAATTTAAAATGAAATACAAGTAGCTTAAAATGAGGCTGGTGATGACAGAAGGAAAGCACAATAGATATTTATCTCTGTGATCAAATGGAGCAGACAAGGGATGGAAAGAACAATCTGTACTTGTAATCCCCTTGACTAGGATCCCCTCCAGACACAGCTGGTTGCCTCCTTATCACATAGCGGGTAAGACTCACTACCACAGACTGAGATGAGAAACCTCCATTCAGTCCTCTCAGACACAACAGCATCAAAACTAGGAACTGACAATAAGGATCCTTATTCCACCTTTAAACTATTAACAAATGAGGGCAGCACTTACTGGGAAGAAAATGAGAGAATAACTTAAGTTTCCGCAGCGAGTTAGACAACAGAAGAATTCCATTTGCGACATGATGAAGATGCCCAAACTGAAAGTCGGTGCGATGTAGAAAAGCTTCCAATAGTGTTGTTATTATACCTACTCTACACATACAAACTTTTTGAAATCAAAAGTGCCATCAATTTATCACATTCATTTAATCATTTTCACAAGGAATAACTTACTTTAAAAAAAACCTATAGAGGAATAATCAAGTAGTAATTATCCTCATCTAGTACAAAGCACTATTTGTAGTCTTTAGCTTCTTGCAGATCAGTAGCATATCTGAAATGCAGGTTTATTGAATTGTTCAAGTATTTCTTTGAAACGTCAAAAAGTAACTACTTATGAAGAGGCCCTCATACAATATTATGTTCTCACCAGCTAAAGTTTGCTGCCACAGTCAGGCTAATTACTTGTCAAAGCCTCTTGATCATATTAATACAGAAAAAAACTCACAACAAAAGAAATGTAAAACAAAAATTGTGAATTGGTCCTATCCAAACTGCAAGGAACAATAAATCAAAGGGATGTTTAAAAGAAAAAAAAAAAACACAACAAACAAACCTTTAAAAATGCAAATGAGTAGGTTCTAAGAATACATTTAGTTATTCATCATGCATACAGTTTGAAAAATGTTAATAAAAATTTAAAAGCACTGCTGCCTGACTGTTTTTAACGAGAACTGTAAACTTGCTTAGATGCAGGGGAGCACCAATTAAAGTTTGATAGATTGATCAGCATTTTGGCACCCACTGGCTGCAGGTATTCCCATTAGCCCCATAAAACACTGGCATGGTTCCACTGGTCGGTAAGCTTGCAAGATCAAAGATGTCACAATGGCCTTAAAGGGGTTTCTGGGAGATATGCCTTGATACCTTTTCTCTCTCTTTTTTTTTTTTTTTTTTTTTTTTGTTTAAATATAGAGATTTAATCTATATTTAGATTTAAAAATTTGCAGGTGCTTGATTCCATTTAGCTTTAAAATGAACTTCCAGAGATAGAGGAAGGAAGATAGAGCTATGAAAGTATGAATGAAACCACAAATGACATAACATCTCCAAGTAGGAGTGCTCCCAAGACAAGAGAACGAAAAGGCCTACCCAAATCCCACCGACAGCTACTGCTGATGAAGTGAAGCCTTCAGTTGGAAGTATTAAGTCTAAAGACCATCTACACACACAGAGGCAGGTGGCTTCCAGACTCTCTTTACAGCTCTGGAAACTACTCTAAATTGAAAGGAAAATAATGAGAACTAAACCCATACCAAAACATGAATCACGAGGATACAACTTCATGCAGGCACACGAAAAAGTTTGTATACTGCTTGGAAAACAAAGTATACAAGTTTTGCAGGTTCATACTCAGAAGATGACTTTCAGCTGAGTAATAAGACTCTCTTCCCAAGCTTGGTTTTTTTTTTTTCCTCCAAATGCAAGAGCTGATAGCTGCGAGCCCAGCATGAACAACTAATATCAGAAAATATGGCATAAAATAGAACATCCCTTGGAAAGGGGACTGAACCAGAAGTAATTTGTGACTGGTCACTTTAGTTACATTAAGTGCAACACAAACGCTCTTATCTCCCCTTTATATGGGCACAGGACGAAATAATGTTCTGGTCTTACAAAATGTTCAAGTACTTCAGTGAGGTTCAGCACAACCTGGTCATGAAGCTGAGGGTGTGCGGTCAGGGCAGGATCGGGAGCTGAGGCTGTCAAACACCTCACAAGATGGCCTTTGCATAACAAGGCATCCCTTTACCACCAGGTATCAGCCCCAACTAGCTCTTCAAAATTTTTGTATGGCAGATGCGCGCATAACCAGACCTGTCAGAGGTCTCACAGATTACAAATCCCGCTTTTCACCGTGCTAGTGGGGGATGGCTCTGGGACAAGACAATGCAGTCACAACTCTTTTAGGAAGAGGAAAAAAAGAGGTAACTTAGCCCTCTTCTACAAGATCATCTCTTTCTTTCTAAATTCAACCGAAACTAAGCAGCCCAGAAACACAGTGAGAGGGTTCTTGAGCACTACTCTCACTCCCTTCTGTATTTCATGTGCGTTTTGCAGTCATTATGGGCTAATGAAATGATGGGTTCTACCTGTTTTTCTGTCAAGAACTTACCAGACCATTAAGAGTTCAAATGTACATGTTCAACTAAGCAAAACAGCTGCAGATTAGCATTGTAAAAAACAAATGGGTTTTACCTTCCTTTGTGAGGTCTTCCTCTCTCTGGCACACCTGCAGAAGTCCTCCGGTTCACAGTGGAGTAATCAGGATCCAGTTCATATCCTTCATCGTCTACTCCAAGGCTGCGGTTATCATCTTCCAGTCCATAGGGCTCTGGCTGGAAGCGTTCTGGCTGGGGGGGGACCCACTGGCACCTGAGGCTGGGCAACAGGACCGTAGTTATCCCTTCTGCTTGGCAAAGTGAAGCTACCATCATCTGGCCTGTAGCTGTTTCCTGGCATGTAGGCATAGCGAGGACGGTAGTTGACACCACGAGACAAGCTACCATAGTTATCAGATAGATCTCCATAACCGTCACGACCAATATAAGGGCGATACTGGCCTTCGTGGCTTTCAGGGTAAGAATCATTGTAGCTGTTGTAAGATCTGGTTAACGTGGAAGATGCTTGTGGTGTGATGTACCGCTCCCCATTCTTCATGTACCTTCTGTCTATTGAATCTGTGTAGCTGCCCATGGGAGACGAGCCATCCATTGATGGCAGACCGTCAGGCCCCAGTGGCACCTGACGCACTGTCCTGGTGGTGACTGTTTTGACCATTTTGGTAACCTGTGAAGAAGTAGTGAATAAATATGTTAATTTTCTCCTTGCTGCACAATGTGGTGAGACATACGGGGAGCTAAAACAGCAAAATAGGGAGAGAGCATCACAAAGCATACTACAGTGACATACCTGTTGAATGGAAGCACTGGTGTCCTCATGAGTTCATCTATTAGGTTTAGGATTTAATAGTGGGAAAATATTTCTATAAAAAGCTGAAGAGACAGGTCATAGAGCCAGAGTTAAGTGCGCTCTGGGGCTCCTACTATCAAATAAAAAACACTGCAGCCATGTGACAGTGCGTGGAAGCAGTGCAAGGTCATTACACCAGTTCAAATTTGCCCAAAACGTTTTCAGGAGGCATCTTTCCTAGAGCAGATTTACGATATTGAGGAGCCACAGCCTCTCCTCCCACAATACCACATCACATTCTCTAGTTTGACAGAAATATAGTTATATGCTCCTGCCTGATCTGTACCACTGTGTAACTTGATGGAGCTCAAATTTGGCAGTAATATTTAGGAAACCACGATCTCAAACAGAAAAGTTTTGGGCTTCTAGCTTTTAGACAGCACAACTACTTTATCTTTTAAGATATGCTTATATCCAACCATCACCATACAAGCCCAATAGATACTTGGTGTTATTCCATTATTTTGGTGACATTATTTGGCAATAATGAACATTAATGCTACACAGCTTTTGCAACTGCAACTACCCTAAACATATCAGGCTCAACAAGTTTGTTTAAAACATTAAAGAAAAATCTGTATGCAAATACATCTTTATCTTTTAGTTCTATAAATCACATCTCATTTCAACACAGATAGAATTAGACTATTTCACATAACTGACAAAAACTTGAAACAGTAAGTGTCCAGAGGGCACTTGTGTTCAGGGTTTCTTGCTAAAGGGTAAGAACAAAGACTCCTCAAGAGTTTCCAAGAACGTTCTGCCTTCATGGGAAAGGTCTGGTAATCTGTGTAAGACAGTGGCAGACAAAAGCCACTACTATTCACAAACTAGCAAAGGACCTTCTGTTTTGGGTGGTATCTGGGGTCCATCAACTTCTGTACTGTCTTCCACAGTGACCAGCAAAAGCTGTTTTGGGGAAAACACAAAGTCCAGCAGAAGCTAATCTATCCTTACCCTAACCCAAAAAAAGTTACTTTAGCCTATAAAAAGTTACCCTAACTCTAGTAAATGCCGACTTTCAGCCCTCTGTAAAAAAACCCAACCAAACAACAAAACAACACACCCACAAAGATGAGAGGGAGAATCAATCCACCAGAGAGTACTACACACAGGGAGGGGAGGAACAAAACAGAATTGTTAAGAGATATTTTGGATGTATTACAGAGGTAAATAAGCATCAGTAAATGACGCTTTTCTTTATGTAAGCCGCAGAATGAAATGTGTACATCAAGAGAAACAGTAACTGTAACATGTATTCCTGGATTGCTCAGTGGCTCTGAAGTCCAAATAAATATTTTGACCTGTAGCCTCTGATTTAAATATTTAGATTGGCATCAGGTTAGCCAAGCTGCTGCTAAAACAAAATAATTAAGAGTACATCTCTTCAAGCGGCTCCAGACATGTCCTCTAGCCAGATGTTTTCACACAGAAACCCCAAAGAGAAAAAATTCACCCAAACAGCATTTCTCTTCCTAAAGACATCTGTGAGCAAATGATACTTCAGCCTAATGAAGTAATGAAATCCCGCAAGACTGAAAGCAGTACAAATGGCTCTCCACCAACAGCATTAAACAGCATCACGATGCTGAATAAAGCATAGCCAGGTACCAACATAACCTCAATATCTAATGTGGGCCAGAGCTGAAAGAATTTTCCTCTTCAACCCAAAGATGCTAGCTTCCATGCGTCCAAATCTTCTTTTTTCCCTTTTTTAAAAAGCACACATTTTAGTAACTAAAAGAAAGGAAACTAGAAACTAAACATTTATTTCATGACATAGAACCCAATCGCGGTTTTTGCTTATTACCTGCGCACAATACTTCTACTTTCCACTCAGTTATCGGCATGACTACTGTCACGGCATTTATACAACTAGACAGCATTTAGAGAAGAAAAAGAGCTGGCGTAGATTACAGTAGCTCTTTGTAAAGTGGATATACACAAGGCAACACAGCTCAGTATTCTCCTACTGAAGTCTGAAACAAAAGTTTTATTCAAAGTAATATGTTCATAAGCGATCTTCTAAGAGTAGAAAAAGCAACAGTTCTCAGGCCTGAAATAGGCGAGTTTTGCAAAGCAATGACAAAACTGGATGCAAAGTGCTGGGCCTTTGCATTCTTGAATTTGGGAACCAGTAACGGGAATAACAGGAAGGAAGGTAGCATTTCAACAATTTGATGAATCAGAAACTGATACTTCTGCCCAGGAAGGAACAAAGAAGCAGCTTTCTAGATGCCAGGAAGAGCACTTGCGTAACCTCACGAAGCCCTTTCTTTCAGCACTATTCAATAGGAGCCAGATATTTTAAATCTAATCCCGAGTTTCTCTTTTCAGGACATATGTTGCCATGCATGCATAGTTTGTCATGCGTAACTTTTCATAAAATTGTCACGATCAGACAATGCAAGATACCTAATAAACCATGTCTGGCTGCAGCAATAGCATGAAAGAAGGAACAAGCTTTGACCTGCACGATCCTTGGACAAAGGCTTTGCAGCAGAGGCATTGCTGCTGTATGTCTTCACCCAGCGTTCCTACTGCCAATTCTGGACTCTTGCTCATTTTTGACTGTCTGATGTTTTTTGGAGAATCACTGTTATTGTTAAACAGAATGAGGTAACACAATGCAGAAATGTTATGGCAAGGACAATTGTCTACAACTATTCAGTACATGTACACAAAAAAAGACGAAGCAGAATTTCAGAACACTTCGAAAATCAATTCCTAAACAATTTGTGACTTACCAGTTACACTTAATGAGTTTTTCACCATGCTCTGGTACTCTACAGAGTATTTACAGAGATTTTTTTTTTTTTTTTAATATGACCAACACAGAATGCAGGAGATTCATTTGCAATTTTTTCCCCGTCTTCAAGACTAGCACAGACAAGTTTTCAATGGCTATAGCTAGTCAAAAAGACACAGTGTCAGCCAGCACATGTAAGAACAAGTTTACAATGTTAGCACAGCTTCACCTCTATCATTTTCTGAATGCTGCCCCTGTTAACGAGTGGAAAGAATCAGGACAATCAAAACCCCCTTGTCAGACACATAAAAAGGAACATTTCACTCAAGCATTAAAGTACGCATTTCTCATAGCATAAAAGCATTTAATAATGCTAAAGGTGTTATGTTGGGGCAATCAAATCGAGTCTTTTTATATTTTGAGAGAGAGGGAGTATTTGCGTTCATGCCTCATTTGTCGGGGTAGGCATTGAGATAGAAGATTTACCATGTGATAAACAGACTTTGTTGCCTACAGGACAATAAAGGGAAGCTTTTTGGAAGCAATTAGCCAGCACACAAAGGAAAGTCCATTTATTAGGTTTCCAAGCAAAAAAAAAAAAAAAACAAACCACCCAACAGACCAAACATCTTTATTTCAGGAAATCCAGCTCAAGGGAATGTTTCCTTTATATTTCTTAAAAGAACACAGGCAGCCTTGAGCAGCTGACAGCACAGTAATCTCTCCCAACATTTTTGTGGTTTCTTTAGTACTGATGCATTAGCCAGAGAGAATGAAGCTATTCCAAATGGGAGTCCCAGCAGACTGTCTTATCTGAGAGACACCTGATCCTTCAGATGCACCCAATCTTGAAAAAGATTTATTAGCATGAACTCCTCACTACAGATAGGCTCTAACGAAAAATTTAGAGATACAAGTTACTTTGAGAAAGTGTAATTTGACTTCCTCCGTTTACTTTCCATCTCTAAAGAAAACCTGTTTAAAGAGGTTTTTCAGCCCGATTACAAATCAAAAGGTGCTCAAGTGTTTCAGTGCTACAATCTCAGAGTATCAGATAAAAACTTCAGATTACTTCCCTGTGAAGAGGTTGTCTGAGTATGCTTAAAATATATTTGCAATTCTTTATTTCCTCTAAAACTATATTAAGGTTTCAATCACACTAAAAGAAGTTCTAATATACCAACTTATTCAAGCCCTCCGGAACCAAAATCCTATGAGACTGCAAGTGGGTGCTTTCATTGGTGCTCCCCCTGCCCCAGAATAGAACTACACATCAGGTTTACTGACCTTACCATTGTTCTCCCCCCCAAATAGCAATTATTTTGTTAAATAATCCCCCTACAGGCCCCATGATAGTGTTTTCACTAATTCTGTTTCTGGAAATACATCTGCCAACAGAACACAAAAGAAATATTCACACATTTGAAGCAGCTTCCGTATTTTTCTGTCCCTCATCCTTCTATTTGTCTTGAAGGATGGGAGAACAACATGAAAATATCCAACAGTTGGACTTACTGGATGCATGTGCAGATGGTACAAGTGGATCCCTCAAAGTGCACAGTGCTCAGACACAAGAGGAGAAAAGACTGTACTGAAATTTCTGTTGAAGTGGGTTATCACAGTCAAATGCAGTCATCTTAACCAGAACCTGTAATTTTTGCCTTCCATTTTGTTATTGAAGTTGGTTTTGTTTTGCCCTTTTTTTTTTTTTTTGATAAATTAAGTACATTATAAAAGCTGACAGGGCTAAAATTTTTGTTGAATCTATGTAATAAAACAAAAAACAGATGAGAAGGAATGCACAAGGATAAAAACATTCTTACATTTCTGAGAGCTTATTTTTGAACTACGGACTGTAAAAATTAATCAGCCCAAGCAGGTTGAAGCTATTACCTTTCTATTAAATGCTGTGTAAGAACTCGCCCTGTAGGTTTTCAAAACAACAGCTCAAATTTCTCCCCTTCAATTTTAAGCTTAATGTTTCACATTTTCAAAGGGCCCTCAACTTCGGCTGAAATCCATTCCTGTTCTATTACCTAATTCCCTTGAATTTTCTGCAAAGTTTCAAAGAACTGCATCTCAGGGTACCCAGCACCGCCACAACCAAAGAGTTTCAGTCGCAAGCACTTTCCCATCACTGGTGCTAGGAAGCTGGAAGCTCTATCGCTGTTGGGAAAGATCTGGCCTTGCTGAGTATTAGAAAGCACAAGGCAAATGGGTGGACTGGAAATAAAACAACTTTGTATACAAATTGATTTCACAGTTTGTTAAACATCATTCTCAATGAATAAAAGTGACCTAAATCTCTTCAATCTTTTAGCATTTCAAAGATAAAAATAAAAGGTGCCTGAAGAAAGAAAAAAGCAAACATTAACACAAGCACACACAAATCTAGTTTGCTTTACTGGGTTCTCTTGAGCCACTTACAAACAGGCTCCCTTTAACACGTGGCAGTGTTCCAGCCGACAGGCAAGAAGTGGTAGTTTTCTCCCCAAGGTGACTTTCACTGTTGTAGCATGATAGGTATTTGGCTTCCAGAGAGATTATAAAGTTGAAATGAAGTATTATCTGCTACATCTTTTGTGCAGTGAATGTTATGTAGGGACTTAGTCAGTACAGTACTAAGAGAAGAACAGTTTGGGGAAAATTACTGAGAGATATCTCATTTTGAAAAGGCAGATGTTCTTTATTTAAAATATGTAAAATATTAAATTCTATTATGCCTTCTTCCTGCTTCACTGCTACAGGCATCTTCAAAAATGTGGGGAAAAGCATAGCAAAACTGTCAATGCTTCTGGATTAAGGTTGTTTACTTAATACACTATTGAAGATAATAACCTCTATAAATTATGGTTTTGAAACAACAGGGGGGTGAAATAAAGGAACAGCAGCATACAGGAGCACTCCCATTTACAGCTTTTGCTATGCTTCAGTTCAAGAGGAGGAATTTCAGAGGCATCACTCTCCAGCAAGCTAAAGAGTATACAATTTAGCAAAAACAAACGACAATTATCTTTTAAAGATCCAAAAATACATACTCAATGGCACAGGTTGACTAATCCCCACATAAGCTATCCAGCAAAGAAAGCATACATTTAGAAAACCTCTCTGGACTCCTTGGCTCTTAAAAAAACATGACCTGTGTTACTTACTCTGATAGAGGAAGCATCTTGTGCTGCCACTCCCTTTGCAAGACAAATACACTGGAGATTGAGACTGGCACTGTCCAGAAGAGCCTTCTGGTTACAGAGGTAAAAAAAATAGGTTCTAAACCCTTCCTCAAAGGAGCCTAGAGCAAGCACAGCCATATAGAGCATAAAAATCTTTATTTGCATGTTGTGCTAACTACCTTGACTTAACAGATGACTCAGGAGAAGGAAAAAAAAAAAAGCAAAAGCAGCTAAGCATAAACCTAACCCCCCCTAACATTTAATGAACATAGTGTGACCATCCCAACTTTAAACATTACCATTATTAAGTAACAGATTAGATATTACTGAAAATAGATGTGAGGATTCCCACCACAAGCAATGCTGCTCCTTTACAAGGATGCCTTGTAAAGGAGTACCTGCACACTAAAAGCAAGGCCAGATTCATGGAGGGAGGTTTGTTAGGTTTTGGGTTTGGTTTTTTTTTTTAGCATTTTTTTCTTTTCCTCCTCCCTCCCCCCCTTCTTTTTTTTTAAATCTGGGAGGGAACAGGCAGAGATACAGAACAGCAGTTTCTGGGCTCAACAAAGATCCTACTACTGCACACGCACGCTCAGCGGACATGTGTTTGCATCTCTCGTCCCAGAGGAATGCTTTCCTTCACCATCTGAGCAGCAAGGTCAGAATCTTGCCACTGCACAGAGGTACCAGGAAACTTAATTTTCTCTGTAAGGCTAATACGACCTATAAAAGCACTATGATGATACCTATTAGAAGTGATAGTAAGTCAATGCCAATTAACTCCAGGACACTTAACTGGTGCTACAAAACCCCAGTGACAACAGTTTTCATTTTCACATTCCCTATCAAAACAAAAAGCAAGTTGAAGACCAATGTGATTAAACAAAAAAACTTTAAAACATCTGACCTCAGATTCCTATCTAAGAGCTGTTAAATCTATGCCATGCTATCACAGCAAGGAAAAGTCAAAACAAAACCATTTCAGAGACAACAACCACCTCAGCAAAGCCACAGCACCTCTTCTGACAGCGTTAGGGCTAAGCTAACCCCATCTGTGTTTTGACATTTCAGAATCACTTCTCAACAACTGGATTTTTTTTTTTTTTTTTTTTTTTTTTTAGGAGCTGGTCTTTTTAGCAATGAAAAAATAGGAAACACCTCCAGATAGTTTAGTTGAAGTCAGTGAGATTATTTGAAACAACATAAATGCAGAGCAAGACAGCTATGCACCTTCCTCGCATTCTGAAGACACTTAAGTGCCTGGAATGAACTACAGTAACAGAAGAAAGCCTTGCTCTTAGAAATGGAACAGTAGCTCTAGGGTTGCTGTTTTTTCAATTTTCTTTCCCATATGCAGATACAATGCCTGCCACTGTCCTTTTCCGTTGGAAGATGGAAAAATAGCAGGTACACCACACATAGGAGAAAATCGCACCTTTTACGCTATGACAAACATGCAGCTTTATCAGTGGCATGACTATTTCAGACAAACTATTTCATTCCATGTGGTCCCGTTATCTAAGGACCACTGCATGGCCTCTCCTCTACTTTTACAGTCGTAGCTATCATTTTATTCCCTTGCATAGCTGCACTTGCAGTCTCCTAAAACTATGCACTACTATTAGTACATATAAAAAGGTGTCCATCACCACTGTAATTTTATCACTTCCTTCCTGTAAATAACAGTTGTTGTTGCTGCCACTAGAAAGAATACAGCATTTCTTTCAAATAAGTCACAGATGAAATACATTAGATTATTTGAAGGGCTAATAAAAATTTGGGGTTTTTTGTTTGTCTGTTTTATTTTTATTTTAAGACCTTCATCTCCTTCCAACAATGAGAAAATAGGCCAGTTACATTTATCTTCTAACATTAAACCAGACACTCAGTTTATAGCAATGTGTGCAGGCCCGCTGACCTCAGGAAATCAACGTTCACTTACTCCAACCTGAGGATCTGATATTCTGAATAGATATCTTAGAGGACTGCAATTCTGGAACACCAGTAAAAATAAACATTGATTTATGCAGTGACCTCTGTTCAACTCCTTTTAACACAGAAAGCCATTGGACAGTCTCTTTTTTTTTTTTTTAATCAGTGCTGTTCAGAAGTTTTTTTCAAAGGGAATCACCCCTAACCTTTCACATGACCGAAACCTAACAAAGACGCCAGCTGAATTTCGAAGACCCAAACATCAAGGTGTATTAGTGTTCCAGCAGTACCCGAAAGCAGGTGAGGCAGCCATGAATATACAGCACCTTCTCAGCAGAGACTGCAAAATTACCTTACACAAGGGAACAAAAAGACATCAGGAAAATTAGAACACATGTAACACCTGTAATCCAGCTGAACCTGAGGTACAGGTCACTTGAGAACACACCCAGCTTTCCCTATGCAACAGGAGTAAAATTCCATTCACAAGATTGTTGCAGAATTTAAATGCTGTGGCATTATTTAAATAGGATGTTTCTTTTTCTAAAGGACAAATGCATAATCGCATATCGTTATTACAGATCGTAACTACTTTGAAGACGTATTTCCAAGCACATTCTCCTCAGCTGCAAAAGTAATTTACTCCAAGCCCTACCAACTCATCTAATTCTCAGATCACCCTATGTGTTTGCAGGGCAATGCTGTGAACTGTTTCAGTAAAATAAAGTGAATCTTAAAAGAATAAACAGTCTGGGAAGGGGTCCTAGTGTTTTTGTTTGGTTAACCTGGATAATTTCTACTGTTCAGTTCACAGCTCCATGAACAGCTGTATCAGCACAGCTGATAGGGAGCAAACTAGACACAGAGGCGAAACTGAAAAACCCCTGAACTCAGCTTTGCTGGCAAACAGAACATTCAAAATCACTGAGGATCACAATAGCATGATTATCATCACTCATGCTACTTGCTGCTATTTTGATTTTGTGATTACGAGTTATTTTGCCATTTTCCTCATTGGTTATTAACCTCTCACCTTGGTTTCAGTTCTCCTTGTGGTTCCATCTTCAGAAGTAACAATAGACACATGGGAAGTGGGAGTGCCTGGGTCTTCCTCCACAGTAACTGTCTCTTCCACCATTTCTTGAGGCTCTTGCATCATTGCTATTGATGTCTGGTTACTGGGGCTTTGTTCCTAAAGAAGCAGGTAAAAAAATTAACTTCACTTCTACCATCATGCTATAACTATTCTATTGATTTCAGCTTTCTCAATTGAAAAACACATTTTACTTGCTAGTAGAGATTCAGAGAAAGAAATTTACTGTCTCAAAAAAGCGTGCTGCAACTACACTGGTATGACTGGGCTCAGCCCAGTAAATGGAAATCATGTGAAGCATCTATCAAGGACTTCATATTTATAGGCAACCTACTACAGACTAACAGATTACTACTTTGTATTTAAACGTGCTTTAAGCTCTCTCTTCAATGCCCAGCGCAGGAAGAGTGGAATTTTTGTCTGTAAAAACATTCATTCAGTTCTGCAGTGAACAGGACCATTGGCTTTCAGAGCACTTAATCTTACACACTATTAAAAGTTTATTTCCATTTGATAAAATACACTCAGTTGCAGACTACAGAAGGCTATAAAACATCAAGACCTACTATTAAACTGACACCTTTCTCAACCTGTCCAAAGCAATGATAATTTAAAAAAAAAAATTGATGGCTAGAGATTAATAGCTGAATTATGTGAAATGCTACCCTTCTGACATCTTCCCTTCGCTAAGCCCGTAAGATCTAACTGGCTACAAGCTTATTTAAAATTTATAACAGATAGACAACATAAAGAAATATTAAATAGAAAGAAAGTAGATCAAAGGCCGGTTGTTGCAGGGATGCTGCCCAAAAAGAACGCTTCTGCTTCTCGCCAGCCCTAATGTCTGAACTTTCCTTTTTGTTACACAATTGTGTGTCTCAGCACAAAAAGCAGAGAAGCTCCCCTTTGGTAGATGAATGTATTTCGGAAGTTTCACAGCAAGCGGCCAATAAAGAACCGGCTTACATACTGAGAAATAAGACTTTTCCCCAGCATTATGAATCCTCAACTACATAAAATGAAGTGACAGACTGTTCATTTCATTATAAGCCCTGAAGGTATCAGGCTACACAGGCCTCAAAACCAAAGCAGGGCTTGTGTTTGTACATCTTGTCAAACAGGCACACAAAAACCATCCTTTATTAAGGAATATATATATACACACACACACACAAATATACACACACAGACACGCTTTTTTCTGTATTTAAAAAAAAGAAAGGAATGACACAGAGCTCTAAATTGCAAAGTGAACACACTTTCCCTAAAGAAAACACTGTGGGCAAATTCAGCATACCTTTTCACATCACAGGAAAACAAAATGATTGGGACAAAACTGTTGCCATGCAGGTGCTGAGTCTAATTACATAAAGGTTTAAATATTCTCTACCTGTGAGCAGCTTCATCACCAGGGAAGTACAACATTTTATTTTGTAACATTTTATTTAGAAAAATTGCATTTCATCCCAACGATGAACTTTGGATTGCCCCTTTTGCTGTGCCATGTTTTGCGCAAGCCCTGAAGGACAGTATCCTTCCAAATGACCTTATGCTGCTGAGCAGGAGCAGGGTACTGAGGTCTCATTAAGCTCCACAGTGAAAAGCATCATCTAATCCTTACGTGAGCTATACTTTCCTTTGAAACAAGCGGAGATGCCCCTGTTCAGTTTCCTTTATTTACAGGCGTATTCTGACATTCTGGAACTTGGACTTCAGTACGGAAGCCGCTTTTGCTTTCAGGTGAGCGCTAATATTAACCAAGACCATGCCAATAAGCTTCAGGCAATCATCTCAGTCAAAATGCAACATGGACAGTCTTCAAAGATAACACATGCTGGACCACCAGAGGTGATATAAGCAGGCACTACTTCCATTTCTATTGAAATCACAGAATAACTCAGGCTACAGAATCAATCAATGAGAATAAGGCTTCTGAAATCCTAAAGAAAATCACTCCTTCCAGTCTGCAGTACTTAATCATTATGGCCAGTAACTTATGATACACACCGAATCCTTTATGGTAGGGTTCACATGCCAGACTGTGTCTTCTGCCCACAGCTTCAGAAGGGAAACTAGCTCCTGGGACAAATACATTAATCCCTTCACATTTTTCTTGAACATACTATATCCTAACTGCAACTCCCTTTTCCCCACCCCACAGTAAAGCTTCCCTCTAAACACAAGGATTTACACAATATCGCAATACAGTAAAGACTCAGAACTTCTATTCACCTTCATGCAACCCCAGCCTTGCCCACAGCAAAGAAACCAGTTACATGTAAAGATTTTTTCCATTACACCTTGTCCCTGTAAACCTCTTCATCATCTTCAAGGCATCGAATGCCAAAACTGCTTGAAGGTGGGACCTTCTCACTCTTCTCACACATGTATGTACATACATACATCTCCATCCATCATCCTTATTTCTAGCTGCATCTTGAGGAGACTGCATGAATTTACACCTCTTCGTTCCCCTCTAGATTCAGAGGCAAAATCTGCTTTGTGATAATAAACCTGAGGAGATGGAAGGTGGAAAGAAATATTTTGCTCTTTGAGCTTTTGCAAAACTTTTTCTTAATGAAAAAAATAAAGTCTCCCTTTGTATTCAGACTGCCTGTGGGCAAACGAAACCTTTAAAGTTGGGCACTTAAACATGAGCAAATTGCAAACTAGAGCATATTGACTTTAAATGAGCACTGCACTAGTTTTTATCCTCTGGCTGCTTCTAAAATGAAGCTTCAAGGGAGATATGGTACAGATCTGCATTCCTACACGAGAAAACTATTGTTAGCAAGAGACTGTCCTAAGCATCAGAAAGAATAAAAGCTTGCAAAGTTCAAGGTAGCTATCCCAACACAGACAACTAACCAGACTGCATCTTCTTGTGTCTTCCTTCTTATTATGTGAGCTACTGAGGAATGCAGCGAGCAAAGAGGACAGCGTATCATCCAGCTTACTCCCTGAATTACGTTAAGGAGGTGGTTCTTTGATCTCCAAAACCAGTACTTTCTCCACATCACTAACTTGGAGTTGTCACGAACTAACATTAATGTAGAAAAGATGCTTAGATTTTGTTATCTGTTTTTAGTTTCCATCATTAAGGATTTTAGGTCATCAGAAATTGCAGAAACTGGGACACGTTACCCCTTTCAACCACCTTCCTCTGTGCTCAGCTTCTAAGTCAGTATTTAGGACGTTCTTCTGCTAAACACATCTCAGATTCCAAACATTTGGCAGGTAAGCCTAATTATTCAAAGTAAAACACAAGTTGCTAGATAGAGCTGGAACATGACACCCCTAATGAATAATCCTACCAGTAGTTCCCTGCCTGCTAGAGGTAGGTAATTCCAGTTTAGAACAACACACGCTCATTCGTTTACCTTGCTGGGGGCTTTCAAAGCAAAAGCAACCAGACAATTCCTCTTTTCCTATCACACTGGCCAAGACCCTTTGTTTGGTCCTTCCACTACTGTCAAACAAGAAGGTGTTTCCCAGCACAAGAGGGATCTGCCACGCCACAGCGATCACTGTCATCAGCTGACCATCTGGGAAGACCAAATCCAAAGGGAGCTTCTTTCCAGTCCTCTTCAATGGGAGACCATAGGATCCTTGACAGCTCCTGCAGGTTGGCTCCCTCCTCCTCCAGGGACCCTCCCTTTGAAACACTCGAAGCACAACAGCCAAACTACAGAAGTTGTGACACAGCAGCTCCCTGAGGGACATGGCGCTGAGGGGGATCCTTTGGATGGCTGGGCAGGAGCCTTGCTGGCTGGGGCTCACTTCCACAACACCTAAGCGAGGCAAGCAGGACAGACCTGAGATGGGAGCCAGGTCCAATCAAGAGGCAATACCTCGGTGATGAGGGAGGGTCAAGGCCAACCCAGGAAGCAAATCTGCAGGTCAGGGCAGGATCAGGTCCATGACAGCGAGGCAGGTCCACAGTGACAAGGCAGGTCTGAGGTCAGGCTGGGAAGTCAGTCTGCAGGTCAGGGTCTGGATCAATGGCATCCATGGCCAGGCACAGGCATGGCTGTAGCTCAGCTGGAGACCAGTACTCCTCCAGCATAGACCAAGCATGGACTGAGGGCTCAGGGCTGAGCTTAAATAAATAGAGCTCTCGGGTCTCTGGGCAGAAGCCCCACGTGAAGCTGGTCAGGGTCACTGAGGTCTGTCAGTGCCCTCAGGGCCCTGAATGATCCCACAGCCCCTGTAAAATGGCAGCAGGAGTTCTCTTGCAATAAACACACACATATCAAGGTGATATCCCCCCACAAAATTGCTGAGCATTACTCATGAGGTCCCTTTCAAATAATAATCTTTGTCTCCTTCCAACAAGATTACAAAAACAACACCAAGTTATGAGAACAGATTCCAATCCAGTTATTGCATAGAGTGTCAGTAGTCACGGCTTTTCTCCCTGCTTTTTTGAGTACCAAATTAATCCTGCCCTGTTGATCTGTGCTTGCATCTCCAGCATGCTTTAAAAAAGCCAAGCTATTTAAAAAGCAAAACAACAATCAATTTATCCCCAGCCTGTAAAAGCTAAGTGCAGATGAAACAGCTAAAGACCTTGTAAAATAAGCAAGAATCATAAAATAACAGTAATTCTTGTTTTGTTAAAAAACAGAGTGATTTACCATTTAGGGCACATATCTCCTAGGGCTTATTTTGCATTAGAATACTATAGCTTCTATAATCATCACCATTTCAATTCCTAGAGTTGTATTTCCACCCAAACAGCTATTTTGTATTTTTTTTTAATAAAAGAATAACCTCCCCCAGGAGGATCAGACATCCTACTGTAAAATAGTAAACAAAGTTCCCTATTCTCTGCCTATGAAACAATTTAAAACAGTCTGGAAATAATACAAAATTGCAGGAGATTATTACTTTCACTAAAACAGTCCCTCTTCAAAAACACTGAAAACATGTACATCAAATCATCATTCTCCCAGAGATACCCTTTGTTCAGCAGACGCAATGCAGGCTATTCAGGCTACTGCTTACTCCAGGCTACTATCAGATTCCAAATTTGACGGTTTTTGCAAAGCACAAAGGCTGGATTCTACACCAGTGGACATACTTGTCCTCAGTCAACCCCAGCA